TTCGTCAATTGATCCTCAGTCCAGTCCTTTATTAATCCATGACGCAAGCTGTAACGGAGGGCCAGATCGAAACACAGGTATAACCTCCCACTTGGTACTGTGGGGTTCAGTGACATAAAACCACTCCCGCTGCCATAGGTCAGGAGTTTCCGTGAAAGAGCCTTTTGGCCAGGGAGCATTGATAAGTTTGCTCACTGTAGCACCTTCGCACTCCGCTTGTTCCCCGTCGACTACCTTTGGCTTCACACTAAAGGTCTTGAGCCATAAACCGAAGTGCGGGGGAATGCGGAGAAAGGCCTCGCACGTGATAATGAACGTCGAGATGAATCTGGGGCTAGATCGTGAAAATCTAGTCCGTAGTAAAACATGAGCCCCCGGACAGAGGAGGCCACCCATCGGCCCTGTGGGCTGGGTCCGGACATAATCCTAGCCCTCGCATGAAGTGGGAGATGAACACGACACTCTCGTCGGATCTGGGAGTAGGAATAACATGTCCTCGAGCAGGGAGCCTGTGGGGGATCTCTGCGGTCAGGTATCTTATCGCACGAAGCTTCGTGATGTCCTCCTCCGTAACAGAGGAGGCCACCCATCGGCCCTTGGGCTGGGTCCGGACATGATTAGGAAGCTTAAAGCGATGAAGTCGAGTCTTGGGTGCTAGAACTCGAAGTTGGAAGGGCTAAGGAAAAGGTTGGCGCAAAACAAGGCGGCCCTTGGCTCCTTTATAAAGGCAACGAATATCGAACGCCTCCACCTAAACCTGAAAACCGGCCTATTCCTAAATCATACCAATGGAACGGTTGGGTTATCCACGCTCGTATTGATGAGAATCCCGCGATAAAGGGACACGATCTCTGCTTCGAAAAGACGTGCCAATAAAAACCGCGCCCCAAAACGTGGAACGGCGGGACAAGAAATGGTTTGAAATAATGACCTAGCAGACGTGATGTCACATTACAAAAAGTTGTCAGCAGATTGGACTCGTGCAATATTATATTCTCTGCGGTTGTATGTGGTACTTGTGTCGTAGATCCGGACACATTCATTACGTCTGAAGACTATCTTGGAGTATTCGGAAAGGGGAACCCGCCTTGCAATGCCGAAGACAAACTGCGCGCCGGACACCTCGTCATTGAAGTCTGGTTTAGGGGCTACTAAGGGAGTCCTGGACTAAGGGGTCCTCGGGCGTCCGACCTATTAGACATGGGCCGGACTGATGGGCTGTGAAGATACAAAGACTGAAGACTTTACCCATGTCCGGATGGGACTCTCCTTGGCATAGAAGGCAAGCTAGGCGTCCGAATATGAAGATTCCTTTCTCTATAACTGACCTTATGTAACCCTAGATCCCTCCGATGTCTATATAAACCGGAGGGCTAGGTCCGTAGAGATATATCCTCATAATCATAGTCAGACAGGCTAGACTTTTAGGGTTTAGCCATTACGATCTCATGGTAGATCAACTCTTGTAATACTCATATTCATCAAGACCAATCAAGCAGGAAGTAGGGTATTACCTCCATAGAGAGGGCCCGAACCTGGATAAACATTGTGTCTCCCGTCTCCTGTTACCATCGACCTTAGACGCACAGTTCGGGACCCCCTACCCGAGATCCGCCGGTTTTGACACCGACATCCACCACCTGCGGCCGGTGGGAGCTACCGCTTGTCACCTCGTCGTCCTGTCGTCCCCTCAACCTCCCCCCCCCTTTGCGGCCATCCCTCCAAGGCCTTGTACAATGCTAGATGCTTAGAGAGGTGCTTAAAAAAATAAATTGGGTTTTTCTAAAGCACCGGTGCCTATTTCTACAGGAGAGACGCTTAAAGCGTCTCTCCTGTAGAAATAGGCACCGGTGCTTAATTAAACGTCTACCATGTACTAATAAGCACCGATGCTTAATAAAAGCCTGATTTATTTCGCTAAGCACCTCTCCTAAGTACCTTGCATTGTACAAGGCCTAAGCCTCCCCCGATGTACAGTGTCAGCATCTACCGCCTCCCTGATCCACACCATCAAAGTTTCAGACTGGTTCCTACTCCTTCACCGTCGCACTCGCTGTGGAGCCCGTGGTCGACCGCGCCTTCCTATCTCACACTCAGAGGGGAGCAGAAAAAGTGCTTAGCGCAATTTTTTTCCAGCTGCATGATATTTGGTCGTGGCCTTTAATCAGATAGTCTTATTGCAACATCAAATAGGAAGTCTGATACGTAAAACGAATGAGACAACCCACACTCGACAAGGAAAATCATATCAGATGCTCCATCTGTTTCAAAATATAGTGCATATTTTGGTTTCTATGCTAGACCAAGTTCAAATTAAAACTATCAACATCCACAATTCAAAATTAGTATTATTAGATTCATGATGAAGTATACTTTCATATTTTATTTATTTATTGTTTTAGATGTGGATAGTTTATTCTATAAACTTGATCAAATATAAACATGTTGACTTTTCAAAAACAAAATATGCACTACATTATGAAATGGAGAAAAAACTAAAGAACCACTCACATAGTCATATGCCTGCAATCCAAACATGAACATCAACTCCCATATGAGCCAATTAAAAATCTTAGCGGCGTTCTCCATCGAGGCGTTATGCCACGATCGTTGTAGGATAGACCATCACCGCAACAAGTTGGTACTTTTTGGTGTAGGAACACAACTGATCTGAAATTAGTGCAATCGCCCGCGTGTTGTCCTTGGCGACTTGGGTGGCGATCCTGCAGTGACAAGAACCACCGCCACCTCCCTCCCCCTCCCCTGCCGCTGCCAGAGGGCGTTGTCGAAAAAGTTATGCGGCGTTGGCGGTGGCAAGATGGTGGTCAGCCCGGGCGAGGCGTGGTGCTCGATCTGGGTTCAGGCAGGGAGGCATGTTGGGTGCTGACGTGAGGTTGCGTGTTGGTGCTCCGGTGCCACCACTACGGTTGGTTGATGGTCGTGTGTGCTAACGTGGCCCCTGCTTGCTCTGCAGCGGCGACTGGCTTGGGTCCAATGTGATGGGGGCGTAGTAGCCCGATTTGGTGCAAAGGACATCGACCATGTTGGACGGCTTGTTTCAGACCAAGATCCGACGCTTCGTTGGTGGCTCGGCAGGTGGATCTGCTTCCTCTAGGCCACGAGTAATGGTGCCGCAGCGTTGGTGGCTCGACCGACTTGAAAACTTTCTCCATAAAATTGGTCAAACCATACTGATTTGTCTTTTACAAAATATATCCATCCAAAAATAAGTGTCGCTGACTTGGTATAACTTTAGTATAAGGTTGTATCACGTGAGTGACACTTATTTTACGACAGAGGGAGTACATGATAGCTGTGGTGAGTTACTCGGTTATCTCGAGCTGACGATTATTTTGATGCAGATCATCACCCCATGAAAGAAAAACGTAGGTACATTACGCGCCGTGTCCCGACGATTGCCGAAGCGACGGGTAGTAGAACAGAAGAGAATGGCGTGATGAGATGAGACAAGAAAGAAAGATGGAGGGGCAAGAGAAATGGATGGCAGACAGGGATATGGCAACCACATGTCCCCCATACTCGGAGCTCTGTTGCCGCGAGATGGAGCAAATCCGCGCGCGCGTACACACACACACACACAGCTGGTGTGGGAAGGGAAGGCGTGACTCGGTCAGGGCTCTACAGTTGTCCCTCATGGCGTGCCACTCCTACTCCTACTCCTCGGGATCGGGGTTGCACCAGTCTGGCACCACGCAGCTCCCCCCTACTCCCCGCCCGCCATCTTTCTTAATTTAGAGTAGAGATCAGTCGGTCTACTCCATCCAGGAAAGAGACGGCACCGTGCACCACTCAGCTCCCCCGATCTCTGTTTCCACGATCGGTCTCATCTCCACCATCTCCCAGTGATACCACTCCTAGATATCCCCTGCCACAACCAAAAATTAAGTAAATAAAAAGACGAGTTCCTGCTGCAGGTAAGCTAGCGCGTATCTGAAATTGTCGTCGGTCAAAAACGTTGTATGGACATCATAACCTTTACCTTTCACATTGTGTCATTCCCCAGTTTAGTTTTTCTTTTTTTGGCCAAACCCCCAGATTATTACTACTACAGTACAATATGACCGACGATGCGGTGAGCTTCGTGAGCGCGTACGCAGCATTGCGTAATGCGCGTTGAGGTCCCTACACTAGACGGCCAGGCTGCTGGAACGCAAGACGTGGCTCGGCTGCATTCAACTTTTAGGCCAGCCATCCCTTTTCCCCAGTTTATACATATATCCTGCCCTTCGATCTTTCCGGTCCATTTTGAACTCCCCATGGAATCTCTCCTACGAACTGTATCGCGTCTTTTTCCTGGCCCGGAAACCCGCACGCAGCTGCTTCTTCCTCAGCTCCGCTCTGCAGAAAATTGTTTCAAATCGACAGATAGATTTGCTCGGGGAAACCGCATTATTGGTGCCCCGTACCCTAGTTGCTGCCTCTGCTCGCCAATGGGCATATACAAAGTAGGAGTAGCAACCATGTCAAATCTACAGATAGATCGCACCCTGGGAACCAGCTTACCCGTCGCCTAGTTGCCAATTGTAAATGCACAGACTATCAACCATCCCAACTCTAGCGGAAGAGAGCGTGTGTGTGTGTGTGTGCGGCCCAAAATTTCCCAGTGGCCCGTTTGATAATCACAACTGGTTCATAAAAGTACATGCGTGTACAGTGCACCAAGTACCCAAGGCTGCAAGCTAGGCTAGTGCTAGTGCTAGTGCTAACTGATTCGCAGTACTTACTGTACTTTCCGTCTCAGATCGTATCTGCTAGGTTGCTAGCCAGAGGCCAAACGATTGGAGCGTTCAGAGACAAGCCAGAAAAATGGGACACGGAAGCAACAATGCTCGGACGAATAGCACACTGAATCAATCAACCAATTAACCGAACCAACCAAAGAACTTGCGTACAGTTATTGCAGACTAAACAATCGTCCTTGTTCCTCCTACTGATCTACATTACGTAGGTGCCTTGATGCGAGGTCGGCCATGCGATTTTCACAGCCCGATCAAGTTTCTTGAGGTGGTGACGCCGCCGTCCACCACGAGGTTGTGGCCGGACACGTATCTGGAGTCGTCGCTGGCCAGGAAGAGCACCGCCTCGGCGATGTCCCTGGGCCTGAGGGTGGACCCCTTGAGCGTGGCGAGGCTCCTCACCACCTCCTCCATCTTCTCCACCTCCTGGTCGCTCGGCGCGGCCACGTCGAGGCCGATGTCGGCGTCGGCGTCGTCGGCGGCGGACGCGTCGTGGCCCTGGCGCCACGCGTTGATGAGCATTGGGGTGGCGACGCCGAAGGGCGAGACGCAGTTGACGCGGATGCCGTGCGCGCCCAGCTCGCAGGCGGCGTTCTTGGTGAGCCCCACGATGGCGTGCTTGGAGGCGGTGTATGCGTGCGGGCCGAGGCCGCCGAGCACGCCGGCGACGCTGGCGATGGAGACGATGCTGCCGTAGCGGCGGGCCATCATGGCGCGCCCGGCGTGCTTCATGCCGAGCGCGGTGCCCAGCGCGTTGACGCGGAGCACGCGGTCGAACTCGCCGGCGTCGAACGTGAGGATGCTCTTGGCGGCGCTGGTCTGGCGGCCCAGCACCCCGGCGTTGTTGCAGAAGACGTCGAGGCGGCCGTAGCGCGACACGGCGCGGTCGACGGCGCGCTCCACGTCCTCCTCCACGGACACGTCGCAGCGCACGAAGGCGACGTGCGGGCCGAGCGAGGCGGCCAGCGCCTCGCCGGCGGCGTCGTCGATGTCCGCGATGACCACCTTGGCGCCGTGCTTGACGAAGAGCCTGACGATGGCCTCCCCGATGCCCCGCGCGCCGCCGGTGACAATGGCCACCTTGCCGTCCAGCCTCTTGTGCATGGGGGTGGGGGCGCCGCTGGCGTCCCACCCGTGGCCGTGGTGCGACGGCGACATGGCCGGCTGGTGGGCCTTCTCCGGCATGACGTCCAAGGCAGGCATGGCGAGGTCTTGCGCGTACGAGGCGAGGCTAGCGCGCATGTACAGGAGCCACAACAGGAAGGAAGGAAGTGTGTGAAGCTTGCTGGTTTATGCAGGGGAGTGCCGGGCTGTACTTTATATAGGCGGGCCGGGGCGACTGGTTGGTTGTACGGCCAGCTCTCGCGGGACTACACGTAATTCAACGCGTACGTAGTTGTTGCTTGCTTATGTGTGGCCTAAAAGAAAAAAGTTGTTGCTACTTCTTTATCGTTTGATTCGCGATTAGCCAAGCAAATACTTTCAGTAGTAGAGGGTGCTCTGATGTACATGGCTGTCTGGCTGGCTCTGATGTCATGGTCTTTGCAGCCTTGGTTAACTCGATCTGGTGTGAGATTATTCAGTACCGGCGGATCAGCGCGGAGAGCGACACTGCCTCTGACCAGACCAGATGTCTCCGGTCCACGAGGGAGAAAAAAAAACCCGAGAGAAAACAGAGACGTCGCCAACGCCAGCGCATTCGTAGAAGCGGACGCGAGGGCGCGACAGGGAGGCCGAGACCGAGGGGAGAGGCGCACACGGTTGGGCGGACGGATCAGATTGACCGCGGCTTCGGGTTTGGGGGTGGACCGCCCGCCCGGCGCCGGAGAAATGATGGGCTCCGACGACCGTACGTGGGTGGGGTCGGTGGCTGTCTTGAGGCGATGCCGATGCGTGAGCGTGACTAACTCAACCACTAGGGCGGATTTCAACAGTGTGGACGCTCGCAAGATTGAGGAGCACGAAACCGATGCCCTTTTCTTTTCTTTAAATTAAAAAAAAAACAATTGTTTTCGTGGGACTTTTGCATTGCATGGGAACGAGACTATGCGAGGGTTGCGTGCTGGGTCAACCCCTTCAGAGGAGGGGAGAAGACATTGTGTTCGCTTGCTTCGACTTTTCTGGCCGGGTGGTTGCCGACCGGAGCCCCAGTTCAACATCCTCCTCCTCCGCCTAATTCTACGTGCGAGAACGGTTCCTACGCAACACCCTCCTCCTAACTCATCGCTTTACCAGCCCACAAAGATCGGCATTTTCAGCCTCTCCTCTGGTTGGGCCATACGGTTCCTTTTCCATATAAGGCTGTGCTAAGTCTTTTTTTTAGAGGAAAAGGGCCGCGCCCCTGTTTCATTTCTTGAATGCTAAAGCCTTCTTTGGTTTGTAGGAATCTCATAGAAATTCTAAAGGATAGGATTTTTATAGGATTTTTTTCTTTAGAGCCTTTTGGTTCATAGGAATGGATTCCTATTCCTACATAGGATTGGTTTCTATCCTTCACATTTCATAAAAAAATAAAAATAAGCTTAGACTCAATGAAAAAATTCATTTGGTGTCAACCAAATGACATCTTGTTTCCTATTCGTACTCATACGATTTGAGATACATGTCATCTCATTTCCTACAAGATTCCTATTCATACGATAATCCTATCCTATGAACCAAAAGAGGCCTAAGTCTGTACCACACTATTTTTGTCTGTACCACGCTTTGTTAGAGTGACTGCATTTTTTTCACTCGTGTCGTACGGTCTTACACTTTGCCCGATTGTAATGTAATGTACATGAGAGAATTCCTTATTTAACACTGTGTCTAAATTTTATGCCCTATTTGACATCGATAAATAGTTTCTTCCCTATATAGCAACGAGTCTAAATTTTATGCCTTTTATAACACTTATGTCCATTTTTAGCCTAAATGACACTTGAAAAGACCCTTTTGCCCCTCAAGTGGTATGTTTCGGCGCACGTGCTGTTCAATGATCTCTTTATCATTTTTATTAATAATTATTATACTATTAATTGTTGGATTTTCTTATGGAGCTCACATATTCTATTTTAAATATCTGAGTTTTCTTTTAGTGCAGGATCTCCAAGGGAGAATATATGTATGTCTAGATACATTATATAGTGGATGCATACATTAGATGGTCTATCATTGCCTTTGTACGTAGTGCATGGCAAAATTGCCCACGCGTACAATTGTATGCATGCATCGAAGGCCATACACGGCAGTAGCATGTACTCCGTACGTGGCTTATGGCTCTAGCAGATGTATGTTGTATGCATACAATTCTGAATACCCACACGTCTATGCTGCACGTACAGAATACAAATAGCCATGTATGTGTGTGCGTGTTTGTGCTGCTGTGTGTGTGCTGCGTGCGTGTGCGCTGTTGTGTGCGCGCGTGCCTATGTGCAGTGTGCTGCTGTGTGCGTGCTCCTGCCGATGCGTGCGTGTGCGCTACTGCCCCATTGATGTTGTGTGTATACTAGTGCACCTCACACACACATATATCACATAAGGGGCAAAGGGGTCTTTTTAGGTGTCATTTAGCCTCAAAATGGATGAAAGTGCCGTGAAGGGCATAAAATTTTAACTCGTTGTAGATAAGGAAGAAAAAGTTTTTGAGTATTAAATAAGGAAACAAAATTTAAAATAGTGTTAAATAAGGAATTCTCTCAATGTACATCCCCTCGCTCTACTCCAGTGATCGAATTAATCACCTCGCTTTATTATATATTGACTCAATGGACAATGGTGCCCCTAATTTCTGCCCACAAACCCAGCAGCTCCATCACACATTCATACATGCGCATATGATCACAAGATTAATCGCACCCAATCGGGCCGGCAATCGGTACAAAGAAGGCATACATATGCAGTGTAGAATAGTCTTTCTTTTTTTGCGAAAATGAATAGTCTCCTTTGAAAGAGAGAGAGAATTCCGATGAAGGAGACGAATTTTAGTCCACCCCACGCCAACAGCAATCCCGGTGTTAAAACCTCTCCCCAAAAAAAAGTCAAAGGCGAAGAAGGCCACGAACCTTCCTCCATCTCATCAACCCCAGACTCCAGGTATAAAAACGGGCTTGGCCTTTCGTCGGGACCCGGTTGCAGACGAGCTAAACAAATTGACCAAATCTTGGCGTCACCGCCTAATAAGCACTTCTGTAGTAGCACTTCGTATGTATACGTATGACTCTCCCTTATGCACGTACTGCTTACATCAGTCGTATCCCGCACCGCGTACATGTATAATACCAGTATATGTACCGGTGACGTGATGCTGATGATAATACGTATGTTGTCGACGTGGGGAAGCCAGGGTGTACACATGGTACTTATTGAATTCCTGTGAGATGGCGTAGGGACGTGGCGATTTCAGAAGACTTTTCTGAGTTATACGTACGAGTAGTATATTCTCTCGTGGAAGGGGTGGAGACTATGAAATGCAGGTTAGTTTCTTACGTGGACGAATCTGCTCATATATTTTTGGGAAACGTTTGGAATCGGCGCACCGGCCGAACGCTTCGGCCGGTCGTCTTTTCGCACGCGCATTTATCTCTCTCGTTCTTTATTTTAGAAAAAAAAGCATCGCAGCTCATTCATGGCTACTGCAGCCTTCGCCCACCGCCTCGCTAAGCGCCTCCGGGCAGATCCGCGCAGTTCCTCCAAGCCGGCTTGCCTCCCCTGTCGGATCTCGTCCGCAGGCCGTCATGGAGTCGCCGGCCTCCCCTGTCGGATCTCGTCCGCAGGCCGTCATGGAGTCGCCGGCCTCCCCTGTCGGATCTCGTCCGCAGGCCGTCATGGAGTCGCCGGCCTCCCCTTCCCGTCGGCATGGGGGCGATCCCTTTTGGCCTTTTTCCGTTTCCTCACCTGTTTCTCCTCCGGCGAGCAGGCCGCCGCCTCCCATGCCACCTCCTCAACAAATCCCCCACGCCCTCGCATCCGACGCCACCGGTGTTGGAGACGAAAAGCCATGACCAGAGACGGTGATGTTGCAACCGGCAACGAGAAAAGCTACTACCGGCGATGAGAAAAGCTACGACCGGTGACGAAAAAAGCTACGACCAGAGACGATGACGTTGCAACCGGCGACGAGAAAAGCTACGACCGGCGATGAGAAAGTGGGTCGGCCGTTGCGCAACATTAAAAGCTGCAACCGACGATCGATAATGCTACAACCGGCATTGTCGAAAGCTTCAACTGGAGACGACAGGAATCGAGGGCCGCCCACCATGCAACCGCGGAAGCTGCAACCGGTGACAAAAAAAGCTTCAACCGGCTAAAAAAAGCTTCAACCGGCGATATAAAAAGGTTCAACCGGCGGCAGCGAAACGCAAAAAGCTGCAACCGTTGACACAAAAGCTTCAACCATATGTTTGAAAAGCTTCAACTAGAGACCGGCGAGAAAAAAAGCTGCAGCAGCGAGCCGTTGATGCAGACAACGTTTTCTATGCATCAATGGTGCTGCGGCGGATGCTGGAGCCGGCGTCCCCGCCATTGCTGCATAGGGAGGAGCGGACCAGTGGGCGCTGGTGTTGCAACCGGCAAGCAGCGATGGCGAGCGGCGATGAGCTGCGACGACGAGCGGCGACGGCGATCGACGGCAAAATGCTACAACCGGCTTCTAGAAAAGCTACATCCCGCTTGTAAAAAAGCTTCAAATATAGAACGGTAGCTAACAATGGCGAGCGGCGACGACGGAGCTGCGCGGCGGTGTTGCGACGGGGACGCGTGGCGAACTATGACGGCGGCTGGTGGCGATGCTGGAACCCTAACCGGCAGTGCTGCAACCAGGGGGTAGGAGACAGCGACGGACGGCTTTCTTTCGAGCAGCCCCGGCGAGCTGCGACGGCGAGGTCCTCGGCGAGCTGCGACGTCGATGGCCCCGTCGAGTTGCGACGGCGAGCAGCCTGGGCGAACTGCGAAGGGGCAGCCGTGGGCGGAGGTTGACCTGCGGAGATTTTTTCTTCTCTCGCGCGCGTGCGGTAGGAGGAAGACGACCCGGGAGAACGCGAGGGCAAATCTCATCCATTGATGCGCGCATATCCGACGCTTGGCAGCTGACCGGCCCAAATTTGGGCCGGTGCGCCGGCGCGTATCAGCGCCCTATATTTTTTGGCTCTTCCCCTTGAAGTATCGCTGCTTGCTCGCAGGTCAGCATCGCCCGGCTAGCTAGGAGCTAGCTAAGCATAGCCATG